ACGCTTAACCGACTGCGCCACCCAGGCGCCCCGAACATTTTTTTTTTAAAACATTTATTCATTTTTGAGAGACAGAGACAGCGGAAGCAGGGGAGGGGCAGAGAGAGAGGGAGACACAAAATCCAAAGCAGGCTCCAGGTTCCTTGCTGTCAGCACAGAGCCCGACGTGGGGCCCAGGCCCACAAACGTGAGATCATGACCTGAGCTGAAGTCGGACACTTAACCGACTGAGCTCCCCAGACCCTTGGTGCTGAACACAAGGATCAAAGGAAGCCCTTGGAGTATAGTTTACCCCTTTTATCACTCTGCATGTGGCCCAATCTACCACTGGGACTTGGGTCTCGACGTAAATGTACTTTACTAAGTACTTACTTTAGTAAGCTATTTGGGGACTCAAGAAGTCATTGATTTTGAGGGTTACAAGGCAGTAGAATGTGAATGAACTTGAATTTCCGTTGAAAATAAATAAAGTCCCAGAATGAAACTCTTGAGGATTCTAAAAGGTAGGTATCCATTTTGTTTCTTTTTTAAAAAAAATTTACATCCAAGTTAGTTAGCATATAGCTCAACAATGATGGAGTATTACTCGGCAATCAAAAAGAATGAAATCTTGCCATTTGCAACTATATGGATGGAACTAGAGGGTATTATGCTAAGTGAAATTAGAGAAAGACAAATATCATATGGCTTCACTCATATGAGGACTTTAAGACACACACAGAACAGATGAACACAAGGGAAGGGAAGCAAAAATAATATAAAAACGGGGGGGGGGACAAAACATAAGAGACCCTTAAATATGGAGAGCAAACAGAGGGTTACTGGAGGGGTTATGGGAGGGGCGATGAGCTAAATGGGTGAGGGGCGTTAAGGAATCTACTCCATTTTGTTTCTCCCCTGGGTACTCCAGAGTCCAAAGGGAGAGCTGCTCCTTGGCACTCTGGGTTCACCATCCTGAGCTTGGCTGGGTCGGTGAGAGGGGGACCCAAGGCCTGGGGAGTGGTCACATTATTGCTATGACCTCTGGGGGTGGGGATGAACATTACAGGGGACCCCTATTTCTTTCCGTTTCCTGACTGTGTTACAACCCTCCTCTATACCGGGGCCTCATTCTCACACAAGGGTTTTGTTTTCCCAGGGTCTGAATTCCCTTCATGTGAAGTTCCTCACAGTGGTCTGGCTAATGGTTGTGAGACAAAAGATTCCATTCGATTTGCCCCAACATGGCAGTTGTGCGTGTGCTTCCCCATCGCAGTTTTCTTAGAACTTTGCCACCTCTCCTCAGTCCGGGTATTTAGCATTTCCAGAGCATGTTATAGCTCAGTTCCTTGTGATCGTTTTTAGTGGTTAGACCGCCAGTCCTGTGTAGAGCACGAGCCAGTGCTTAGCCAGAGAATGAAATGGAAAAAGTCAGCCAAACCCAGCTTCATAATCTTCCTTTAATAAAACTCTACTGTGTCATTTCCTTCAGTTTCTGTTTTTCAAACTCGAGCCAACATGTCCCTGTGTTAGGGAACTGTACTACAAGATCTGCTACATCCCAGATTTGACTTACAGTGGAAGTAAGAATACAGCAGACCATGTCCTAGAGTTTAAAAAAAAAAAAAAAAAAAGAAAAAGGAGAAAAAGGTCTCTCTGGAAAAAACTGTGTCTCGAGTATAACTCTTGGGCTTTTCAATTTTGCTTATTTCCTAAAGGCCCATACCATTTTGGAATGTCCGTGTGCCTTCTAGAACAAGTTCCATATTCCAACACAGATTCCTACCTGCCTCGCTACCTTATCACAAATACATTCCAGAGTAATCCCCACCGCTGAGATAAGTGCTCAGTAACTATTTGTTGGCACTTTAGCTTTCTACGTGTTTTTGTACTGAGACATTGTTTCCTCTTTTTTTTTTTTTTTTGGAGAGAGCTGGCACCAGCAGGGGAGGGGCAGAGAGAGAGAATCTTAAGCAGGCTCGAGGCTCAGTGCGCAGCCCAACTCAGGGCTCGATGCCACGAACTGTGAGGTCACGATGGAGGCACCCAGGCGCCCCAACGTTGTTAACTCTTAAGCATAATATTCAACAAACGCCATAGGCTATTCTGTGATTTCTCGTAGAGATTTACATTCTGACTCTTTACATCTCTCCAATACAGACGTTTAGCAGTATCATTAAAGAGGAAAGCAACTGATGCCCCAGCTGAGAGTTTCGTGTCTGGTGTGTAGTAAGAAGACAGGGAAGCATGATCCGTCTGGGAAATGTTTGATCAGGTGCAGTTCTAGAATCAGATGTACAGGGTGACTATCAGCAAGTCAGTTAATCTGCTTGGCTTTGGTTTTCTTATCTCTTAAATGTGAGAGCCTGACTATGTGATCTCTAAGGCCCCTTCCAGCTCTGACTTCTGTGACGCCAGGCTTGTCCAGCCACCTCCTGTCTCCAGGCCTGTTTGCCCATCCACAAAATGAGGGGGTGGGGAGGGCAGGCGTTTAAGTCTTAACCGCCTGTGACTTTCGAAGGAATGAACTTTTAGTTATCCGGACTGGTTGGGGAGCCAAGATTACGCTGGACGTTAAAACATAATTAAAAGGACTAACATGGGCCTGGTTAAGACTTTGGAAAAGTCCTAATTCTTTATCGGGAATGTTGACTTTAACGTAAACGGGTACCACCTTGTTTTTGGATGTTCCCGCCCTGCCCCTTTTAGGCTAGAGGTCTGGTGAAGATAAGAGGGTGTGTGTGTGTGTATACATCAGGTAGGAGCCCAAAGGTGTTAAGGTTTTCTCCTGCTAGTTCCAGCCCCCCGGCCCCCTGCTCCCCGACCTCTGCCCCGGTTCCTGTTCCTAAGGGTACTGTTGATAAGCGGCATCCGAAGTCACGCTGCGGAGGAGGTGAAGTGCGCGGCCACACCGCCCTGGGTCCCAGCATGTGCTCCCTGCGCTGGTGTAAAGTTCACGTGTGCAGATCGAGAAGGATGCGCTAATCCTCTCCTAGTGACCCCGAAAAGCCGAGGCTGGGGCAGAGAGAATGGAAGACGGGAACCTTTGGGCAGCTGCCAGCGAGTGATGCCTAGCCACGCTTTCTAAGCATCGATGAAAACGTATGGCCCGTGGAACCAACTCTTGCGGGCCTCAGACAGCATCACCGTATAGAAGTAGAAAGAGGAGGGGTTCCCGGGTGGCTCGGTCAGTTGAGCGTCTGACTTCGGCTCACATCATGATCTCGCAGTTTGTGGGATCGAACCCCACATCCGGTTCTCTGCGCAAAGCCCACTTCAGATCCTCTGTCTCCCTCTCTCTGCCCCTCCCCCACTCACACACACACACACACACACACACACACACACACGCACACACGCACACACGCACACACACACACTCTCTCTCTCTCTGTCTCTCTCTCTCTGTCAGAAATGAATAAACATTAAAAAAAAAAAGAAGTTGGGGCACCTGGGTGGTTGTCGGTTAAACGTCCGACCTTAGTGGCTCAGGTCATGATCTCACAGTTGGTGAGTTCGAGTTCTGTGTTTCCCTCTCTCTCTGCCTCTGCCCCGCGCCCCACCCCCACACACTCTCAAAAATAAATAAACATTAAACAATTTTTAAAGAAAATAAATTAAAAAAAATAAGTATAAAGCAGACACTAAGTGGACGGCCAGCCCAGTCTGACTTGGGTACCGTTTTCATCCTTGCTATTCCCCTTCGTCATGAACTTTAGTCGCCTCCTGTGTCGTGCCATATGGAATCTCCGTGTCTGCCTGGTCTTCATGTGCCTTCAAGCCCTGGCCACACGCACCCTCCTTCCTTGGCATTCAGTCTTAGTCCCCGCACCTCCTCAGCCCCACACGCTCGGTACGCCCTCTTACAGCCCGTGTTCATTTCCCTCTCCCCGGCTTGGATGGTGTCCCTTCATTTGGCCAGTTAAATCCAACCCTTTCTTCAAAATGTAACTGAAGCCTCCTCTCTTCCATCAGGTTTTCCCTGAACACTGTGTTGTACTGGTCCCGGACCTCGGGAGGCCTCCGCCTCACCCCACGTTTACATTTACTCAGATTCACGTCTGTAGAGTATTTGTTGTTTTTTCCCTTCTGCATAGCTACTGGCACAGAATGGAGTACAGACTGGGTACCCTTCTAAACCTTGATTGGGGGATTAAGGTTCAAAGGACAGTCTCGTGGTCTGTGTGTTTGAGAAGAAGATACGCTTGGGTCCCAGTCTGGCAAGGCAGAGGCCACCCCAGGCCAGGCATGGCGGGCAGGAGGAGGTCACCTCTGCTGTGTCTCGTGGCCGATCCCGGAGATTTACTTGTAAGAGGACTTTGAAACAATCGAGCCATGGAAAATGAGAGCGAGTGAGTGCGTTTAAGAGAGAGAAGGACTGGGAGGGAGGAAGAATGGGAGTCTACAGGGTGGGAAATCCATGCACCTTGATGATTTAAGGTTAAGCCCTGTTCCTCCCTCCCTCCACCCTTGTTCCCAGCCTCCCTCCTTCCTTTTATCTAATCTTCCTCTAGAAGAAGCAGGCCAGGCCCGCTCAGCATGGTCTGTCACAACTCATTCTCAAGTTGAATTTGTGGCCCAACCTTCAGGGTCAGCTTGATGGACTTGGAATTTCTGTGTTATCTTGGCCCCACCATTGTCTTTCTCTTCTCCCAAACCAGGTGAACCCCACTGCCCAGTGTACCCACGCCTTGTTGAGGATGGTCTACTGCTCCCACTGCCAGGGGCTCGTGACCGTGAAGCCATGTTACAACTACTGCTCAAACATTATGAGAGGCTGTTTGGCCCACCAAGGGGATCTTGATTTTGAGTGGAACAATTTCATAGGTGAGTAAGCGAGGGAAGTATTTGTGTCATTGGAGGTAGCTCAACGCCAGCCATAAGGAATGTTGTAATTGTCATCTGTGAAAGTTCTGTTCAGTATTTATTGTCTGCCAGGGTTCTGACTGTACTCAGAGTTCATACCGTTCTACAAGTTCGTTTACTTGTAGAAGACATTAGACACGGTGAGTAGCAAGTTTTAATAATGAGAATGGGATTTTTTTGACATTTTCCTCCTAAAGGTCAGTTTTCGTTAAACACGATAGGTTTGTGTCCATGTAGATGCTGGAGTACAGCCATCACTGAGTGAGCTTTTTGTTTTTTCTTTTATGCTTATTTATTTATTTTGAGAGACAGAGAGAGACAGAGAATTGAGTGGGAAAGGGGGAGAGAGAGAATCCCAAGCAGGCTCCGTGCCGTCAGCATAGAGCCCAACTCGAGGCTTGATCTCACGACCCATGAGCTCATGTCCTGAGCCGAAATCCACCCCCTGAGCCACCCAGGCACCCCACTGGCTGAGCTTTTGAATCATTACACCTGTCACACTGTGACCAAATCTTCTGCATACTGGACGGATACTCCTTGGGTATTTGAAGTGCAATCCAGTTGTAAGAATTTAGGAGTTCTGTTTCTGTAGAGGATTTGATAGAAGCAGACCGCTCTGGTGGGGACGGAGGGGCTCTTGATCTGGTCGTTTTAGAGGTAAACACTCTCAACGTGCACCTGAAGCCGGGCATCCAGACCGCCATGTAAGCGAAGGACCCAATTTCTGAGAGGGTTAATCGACATCTGTGGGAAAGGACAAGTGAAGGCTAATTTCAATGTCCAGTCATCGACTCCCTTGATGTGCTTTTCATGCATAGCTTAGTTCTAAAACATCAGTATGGACGTTCCTGTGATAGTGGCACCGAATACACATACTAACAGCTCACAAAAGCAAACTTGTTTCTTCCCACAGCCCCCAGTCACATTTGTGTAATTGCAGAACTTAAGTGCATACAATTTGCTGGCACTTTTGGGGGGAGGGATTGGAGTGGGAGAGAATGCTTTCTAGTCTGCATGAGAGCTAATTACCATATTAAGTCTGTTTGAAAATGCATCAATAAATTGGCTCCAGCAGATTCTCGAGCACACTGACACAGGGGGAAAAAAAAAGACGTGAATATTAAGCACTTCGGCACAATTGTAGCCTAAATAGCTCAAAGCTAGAAGACCTGAGGAAAAAAAATCTACATGCAGAAAAGCCGAATCCCATGAAAGGGAAGGCCTAAGACCAGCGAAGGCAACACGCGGACAAATGGCGCATCATGCCCAGAATGAAGCCAGGGGGGAGATCGTTGTTTTCGACTGTTTCCCATGGCAAGGAAAGCTCGTGGCATTTCCAGATCTAAAGTTGATGCTTCTGCTCTCTCTCTCTTTTTTTAATCCCACCCTCACCCCCACACCTGAATGCCACATTTGCAGTTCAATTTTGCTAACTTCATTTTTGTAATGTTGGTTAGCCTTTTTACTTTATAACACCTCACGTACTAGTTCTCGGGGCAAAGGAGTAGAATTCGCCATACGGTACCAACGACGTACAGTGACGGTCACCTAGTTTTGCCAACTTGTGTCCGGATCCGTTCGGAGTAAGGTGCAGAGGGGGGCGTGTCCCTTGCACTCTTCCTTTGTTCGAACACGTCTGGCAGAAACTGTAACTCGTGGCATTAAAACACAAATTCCCCCGTTTTTAACAAAATATTTTTCCAAGGGTCCACATCAAATCAAAACCGTCCTCTGGCTTGGCTTAATTAATGTTTTCAACCAGGTACCGTGAGGCTGAGGTGCTGCTGTTATTCTTGTTGAGAGTCTTAAAAATTACATCTGTTCCCTTTCAAGAAACCAAATTAAACCCAAGTGGAAATCGATAGGATTTCTGAATGAATTTTCCTCAGTTATTTGGAATGATCCTTTTTTGGAGGGATGAGGTGTATAATGGTATCTAAACTTAATTTTTAATGGGTATTTTATTCTTTCTGTCTAAAAGGCCGGGAATAATAGACATTGTTCATCCCCTGTGCTTTTTGTATGAATTTTCACCAGGGTTTAATTTGCTCTGTGGTTGTGGAATTCACTCCCAATTTACATGCCTCAGCTATAAGTTCTTTTTTTCCTTTCTTTGCAAAGAATTTTGCTTTCCCCTTTAAACGGCTGCAGTTAATGAATGGTCAAGGGCTTCCCCCCACCCCCACTTCTTTAAATCAGATCTTGGGGTTAAGTCGGGGAAACTGCCTTTTGTTTTCCCAGTCAGTCATGAGGCCGAAGGTGTGGGTTTCTGATCATTGGCGGCACAGTGTGAAAGGAATCGCTTTGCCTAGCGCGAAGGGGACACTTTGTTGATGGGGCGGGGCCGACCCAGTGCCAAATAACCTGAGCACTGAAATCCCGCAGTTGGTCTAGACCCTTGGAGACACTAAGCATAGGTTTTCCACATCTGCCTTCTGGCCGCCACGTCCCCCTTTTCCTTCTCCTGAGTTGCATCTACAGTGTTGTCAGCCTTTATCCAGATGGATGCAAGCAGTTTGAAGCGCCCTGGACTTGGTTTTGGAAGAGGTTGGTTCAAGAGGTCAGCCAAATACTACCCCCCACCGCCGCCCCCCTCCCCCCCCCCCACCAAAACAAAGTCAGTTTCTGGAAAAGCGTAAGTGATGCTTGGTTGCGCCTCGTTTTCCATCACCTACTGTAGCTGCGTTAACAGTCATCTGACTCCTAGCCAGCCTTATTCATGTCACACGTTGCTGCCCGCATGAATTTTGTTTTGGGGTCTTAGGGTGGCTGGCAGGAGGCAGGAACCAGTCAGATTCCCCGCAAATCAGAGGCCCGGCAGCCTAGACCAGCCGGAAGAAAAAACACCAAACCAACTATCTTTGGATCTCTCTTGGGGCTTCTACATCAGGGCTCCTACGGAAGAGCCTCATTGACGGCCGACCGTGACTCCCCCGGGGGTGGGAGGGAGGCAGCTCGCGCATTCTTCAGCCGCGCAGCGCCCAGCGCCATGGCACCGGCCCCAACAAAGGCCCGGCTTCCCTCCATTCCCAGAGTTTACAAAGACGCCAAACAGCCAGAAGAATCGGGTTTATGTTTCCTTTCAGTCTTTCACAAACACATTAGTGATCTGGCCTTTCCTCGCCACTAGGGGAATAAGTAGTTTCAAAACGCGCTGGTTTTTTTTCTTGTTTAAAGCTCTGCATTTTGGATGTTTATTATCTGTCTATTCATAATATTTTTATTTGGAGCAAGCGACTTCTTCGGCGAAGAATGCGCTTTCTGTACGTGCCAGCCCCGATGCTTTGACAATGATGAACACATTTAAGTTGTGCTCCACTTGTTTACAAAAGTCTTTTACAATGGTATATTCATGCCGGCAGCCTTTGCTTAGAGGTTGGAAGCGTCACTTTATTGGCGCTTGCCACAATGCAACCTGAAACTTAACATTTATTACTTAAAAAAAAAAAAGTGCGTTTCACGGAAATCTGTTTGTGGTTTGTGACATCGCCATTGCAGTTGAGAGCAATGATCCCCGTGCCTTAAAACGGTGTGTTGTATTTGTCCTAGGTTCAAGGTGAAAGGTTGATGACCACATTTGGTGTCATTGATATGCTGATGCTAAAACTCCTTTGCACTGGAAAGTTTAGGTAGGAGATCCACGTGGTGGCCTGCGGCCTTCTTTGAAAAGGGCACATCATAATCTTCTGGAAACTAGCCCTCCTTTCTAGGAGCTGCCCTTGGCCTACCTGAAGGCTGTGGATAACATGGGCCTACCTACCCTTCTGCCGTGCTTTCGGCACTAGAGTGGAAAGGGGAGAGAACAAGTTGAAAAGTTCAGTGCTTGTCAGGAGTGTCCTTTTCCCATTCGGACATCCAGTTTGCCTGACATTTCTTGGTGAAAATTAGAGGACACTGAAAACACCAAGCCTCATAATCCCAACGAACGCATACGGCAGACAAACAAGTACAGCGTATTTTAAGAGAGTGTGTGCCGACGCCTTCTAGACTCCTTCAGAATGTGAAAGTAACTCGCAGACTGATCCGTGAAGACTCACGCTGTGAGCACATGGCTTTCTGTGTACTGTGGCCTTGTGTTGTCTTTTCACCAGAACAAAAAGGAGGTACATGTTTTTGCTTTAACTCGAGGCCCTTGTGTTTGAAATGGGAAGTTTATCTTCACACAAAATTGCATTTTTCAAAATGTCATTATTTGAAAAGTCATTAGAATTCCTAGGAACACTGTCATTTGTACTTTGCAGGTGTGCACTCAGGGATCTGAAAGGGTTTCATTTCAAAAAGGAAAGCAAGAAAGTGATATGCCAGGATTTTAACAGATTTGCGTTTTTGAGTCGGACAGCCTTACAGTGACAGCCACTGACACACGAAGGAACGAATAATCAGTATAATAGAACATTCCTGATTGGGTTTCCTTGCTGTGGAATAGAGCATTCACCTGGCCACTTCACACTTTAGAGAGCTAGCAATGCATAGTGACTAAAAGCAGTTCGGTGTAATAGAAAAAGCTGTAAGGGGCGCCTGGGCGGCTCAGTCTGTTGAGCGACTGACTTCGGCTCAGGTCATGATGTTCCAGTTTGTGAATTCCGGCCCCACGTCGGGCTCACTGGCGTCAGCCTGTCAGCACAGAGCCCGCTTCAGATCCTCTGTCCCCCTCTCTGCCCCTCCCCTGCTCATGCTGCCTCTCAAAAAATAAATAAAACATTTTTTAAAAAGAAACAAAACCGTGAATTATGATGCATGCCTCCTCCCAGCCCCCCCCCCCCGAAACGAGAGACAATAAAATAACCACACTGATGACCCAAGGTCAGACTGACGATTTACTGTTTATGCTGTATTGTTCTTCCCCCAACGTCACGTTAGACGCGATGCTGATGGTGGCGGAGAGGCTCGAGGGCCCTTTCAACATCGAATCGGTCATGGACCCCATCGATGTGAAGATTTCCGATGCTATTATGAATATGCAAGAGAACAGTGTGCAAGTGTCCCAGAAGGTAATGAAGGCAGGACACTGGAGAGGACGGGCAGAACCCCTCCCCTGCTCCAGCTTGGGACACGACTCCCCTAATGTGACTCGTGGTTGCCTCAATGCAGGTTTTCCAGGGATGTGGACCTCCCAAGCCCCTCCCGGCCGGCCGGATTTCCCGTTCCATCTCTGAAGGTGCCTTCAGCGCTCGCTTCAGACCATATCACCCTGAGGAACGCCCAACCACAGCAGCCGGCACTAGTTTGGACCGACTGGTGAGCAGTTTGGCAGGAACGGCCGCGTTTAATGGCAAAGAACTGAAAACATTTGCTCCGAATGCATTTTTAGTTGGAAGGCTTTCACGTGCGGGTCTTTCAGGTGAAACTTCTCAAGCAACTTGCATGTGGATGTCAATAAATCTGCCTCTGATTTTCTAGCTCATAAAGTCGGTACGTAGTTAGGAAACGTGATGCGTGTACCGTGCGCCCATCGCTGTGCATGTTATAGGGACGCGGTAAGACTCATCCTCGTTCTCAGCCCCAGCAAAGAGGGAGAAGCCGACATCCCAGGCTTAAGTGACAAAGAGGATGTATAGTAAGCACTGGGACGGTCGGAAAGTAGGAGCACGTGGCAGCAGGCTGTGCATGCGGTAGGAGGAGGGAGCGTGATGACAGGCACTCGCTTTCACAGAGGGGTTGCTCTAGATGCTTGAGCCAGAGTGTAAAAGCCTGGTGGGAAGAGAGGGTGTCTTCTCCTTGTATCTACAGGGCACGGAGGCTGGCAGGCGGCAGTTGGTAGTTGTAATAAAGAGGTAGAGTGGGCAGCGGATCCGGGCAACTTGTTCAGAGCTTGCATTTCGACTCTTAGTTCATGGGCGTGATTTTGTTCTTTTCTGTATACATTTGATCAGTGTTTCTCTCTTGTGACTCAAGTTGAAAATGAATTACATAGCACTCTGGAGCTACTTTAGAAATGATCAGAAGACACACGTTTAGGTGGCCGTGAGTTTTTTACAGAGCGCTTGCTTCCCCCCTCCCACCTCCCCCCACCTCATTAGGTTACCGATGTCAAGGAGAAGCTGAAAGAGGCCAAAAAGTTCTGGTCCTCTCTGCCCAGCACTGTTTGCAACGACGAGAGGATGGCCGCTGGGAATGGCAACGAGGATGGCTGCTGGAACGGGAGAGGCAAGAGCAGGTCAGCTCCGGGAGCGGCTCCAGAGGGGGTCTGTCTGTTGTCAGTTGAGGGAGGCATCCTGGAGCATCTCATAGTAGGTAGCAGTGACGTGGAAGGCTTCTGGACGTTCTGAGGAATGGGCTTTACCCCGTAGGCATCGGGAAGGCACCCGGCTACTTACAAAGAGTACCGGGCCCAAAGTTTGTGACGGCGGTTCCAACCCCGCGTGAGGGCTGCAGCCAGGGCTCAGGCCGTTCCAGTAGTTTCGTCTTTATGGTACTCGGTCCCTGTGGGTCTTTGCCCACCAGCTTCGCCTCCTAAAACACCAGTTCTCCAAAGGTCTTGTGCTCTTCTCGGGTGACGTCTTGCGTCCCTCCCCCTAGACACTTAGTAGCCTTGCTCCGTAGCCTCCGTATCGGCACTTGACTCTGAGCCACCAACCTCCATTGCTTTCCAAAAGGTTCCCATCAAATTGGAGAAACAAGATGCCTTCCCGGGAAAAGGAGAAATCCAAGCTCTTTAGAAGCAGAAGAACTTCCGGGGCATCGCCCTCCGCGGAAATAACTAGACTCCAAGCAGGATTCTCTGGTGATCTTTGGTGACCTTCTGTTTTACTGATCATCTTCACAGGGTCATTTCTCATTTCAGATACCTGTTCGCAGTGACGGGGAACGGGTTAGCCAACCAGGGCAATAACCCAGAGGTCCAGGTCGACACCAGCAAAACGGACATGTTGATCCTTCGTCAGATCATGGCCCTTCGGGTCATGACCAGCAAAATGAAGAACGCGTACAACGGGAATGACGTGGACTTCTTTGATATCAGTAAGCGTTTGTCGCGGTTTGAGATTTACACCTCGTCCTTGGGCGCCTTGTGACAAGAACAAACAGAATGAAACCTCTGTTCCGTTTTTTTAACCACTAGGCGATGAGAGCAGCGGAGAGGGAAGCGGCAGTGGTTGTGAGTATCAGCAGTGCCCTTCGGAGTTGGAGTACAACGCGACTGACCACTCGGGGAAGAGCGCCAGTGATAAAACCGGCGGCACCGGTGCCCGCATTGGGGCGCAGCCCTACCTCCTCGCTGTCTCCTGCATCTTGTTCCTGGTTATGCAGAGAGAGTGGAGATAATTCTTAATTGTCGAGAAAAAGTTTCCGTCAAAAAGTTAAGGAGGCACCGGTTATCACTTTTATACCATCCTAGTGACTTTGCTTTTTAAATGAATGGACAACGATGTACAGTTTTTACTATGTGGCCACTGGTTTCAAAAAGGCTGACTTTGTGTTTTCATTCAGTTTTGCGGGGAAAAGGGACTTGGATGTCAAGTCAGTTCCTGCTCCCCTGGAATCATGTTAAACGTGGCTAACAGTGTAGGTACAGAACTGTAGTTAGTTGTGCATTTGTGATTTTATCACTCTTGTTTGTTTGTTGTTTTTTTTTTTTTATTTTTGTTTGTGGGTTGTTTTTTTTTTTTTTCCTTCAATTATGATCTCACCTTGTTTCTTACAAGAAAACCAGGGTCCTTTCTTGGTATGTAACATGTACGTATTTCTGAAATATTAAATAGCTGTACATGTTATCTTATTAAAAGGAAAAGCCCAACAAGCAGTGAAATTTCCATTTATCCCTGTTGTTTTAGTTGCCTTATCTGGAGACGAGTGGATGTGATTTTGTTTTTTACTAAGTTAGGGCAGATCGCGAAGTCCGTACAGGGGGCTTCTGAAACACTCGTTCGGTGTGTTCGAGTATCAGTACAAGAAGAAGGCTGCCGGAAGAGACTGCAGACTATACCCATCTTGGTTGAACTGAATTACACAAACTAAGATCACAGATCGGTCCTTTCCTTAAACCCGTTTACACTTAAAGTGTAGCCCATTTAGAAGAAGGTTTCTTTTGAAACACTCTCCCTGGAAATATAGAAGGCATTCAAGGGTGTCCCAGTTACCACATGTTCACACTTAGCTCGGGGGTGGGTTTTGTCTTTTTGTGTTTTATCCGGGCGAGTTTAGCAAGCCGCTGTATGCTGGTCTTCACGTCCACGCTGACCTGCTTTGAGTTGGTACCCCGACGGCCGAAATAAGTGACCAATAAGCTCATTTGGTCCCCCCTGTTATGGTGTGCCGGATCTCAAACCCAGCCATATAGTGGAGGGAGCTGTCTGGGGGCTAGTCAGAACCAGGGTGCAGCCTGGGCTCACGGGATAGCTGTCAACATTCAAAAAGTCTGTGTCTGTGCATTTGCATTTGGTTTTGGATTCCAGTTTGTGTAAAAAAGATTTCTAAGGTGTCCTGCTTGAGTCTTCTTGCCCAGGCCTCTCTGATGAAAAAGACAAAGGACTGGCAGTGGTTCACCACGCTGTGCCACCCTAACAGCCAAGACGTCCACCGGGGGCGGGGGGGGGGGATCTGAGTGTCGGGAATCTTTTCATGTGATATTGTTTTTGGAGGGGGATGGGAGAGAGGAGATAGATCTGAGAAGACGGTATCTTAGCGGTGACCCTTAGGAACCCGTTGCTTGTATCCTCACAAATGACGGCTCATAAAACTATGAGAATGTAACAAATCACTTTAAGAAGGAGTTCCCGAAAGTCTTCAGAAAGAAAATTCTGCAAGTCTCTTCCTGCTCTAGACAGCCATTAAGATCCCAACCGATTCCACAGAAGCTAAAACCCACAGAGAGGTGGTTTGTGTTCTTGTTCAATCTTCAGTTGTAAGAGTAATTCTCTATTTTTATATTGAAACATAATTACTTGATAGCTCAGGGTCTACATTTCATTCAACTTTTTACACCAAATTCTGCAGAATGGTCAAATGGAATATTGGGGGCTGTTGTAAACAGAGGCTTAATTTTATTAGAAGTAGCCAGTTATTTATTAAAGCATGATGTTAATAAAATAGGCATATTCTGGCTGGTGTGTATAAGTGTTGTTTTTTTTTTAAAACAAATCACAGAAGACAAAATTGAAAAGGTGCTCCATTTATGTATGAGGAAAATGGATTGTAAATAGCTCAGCCGCCTTGTGAGAACTTGGAAAGTGTGCTGATACTTAGTAACTACCTCAGTTGTGAGGAATTTCCTTTTTAGCTTAGACTGCTATTACTTTTACTTGGTTAGAAATGAATCTGGTCTCCAAACTGTGGCTCAAAGAGTTATCCCCGTAGACCTTGTTAGATTGTTTTTAATTTAAAACCTTGAACTCTGCCCAGCTGTTTTCTTTCAGTCAAGTTCTCTACACCAATAACATTTTCCGAATTAAATATTCTTGAAGGTTCTTCTGGACTCTTACGGATTTGTTTTCTTTCTTTGCATTTTTCCCTGTTACCCTTTTATTATTTAAATTGTCTCTTGCTTTTGAACTTGAACTATGGAATAAACAAATCATAGATTTTTCCATTCAGATCTGACTGGATAACTCTTGGCTTCTAACCAGCTGGCAGGCTCACCGTTGCACCCCACTCTTCCCCCCACCTCACCAAAAAAGAATAAAGGCAAGTTGAATATTTTAAAATCTTAAGAGTTCAGAGTATGAGGTAGAATAAAAGCTTTGTTAGTAGACCTGACTTTTCCAGAGTCTCCGTTAATAGCATGTGACTTTGTGTTTTATAAAGTCATTTGGAAGTTCTTTTTCTTTCCCAGTACTTCATCACTCTTGTACCTTAAGAAAAAAACATTTTAACGACTCTTAGATGTACATTTCATTTCAGAAAAGAGTCTGTAATCAGCACCTATTATTTGATAAAAGGCAAAGGACAGAGAATTGATGTGCACGTTAAAACTTTCCTCCCTCGGTGTTAGAAACCTAACAGTTCACATGAAGTAGAATTTGCCACCTGTGATTCTAGAACCAGCATAAAAATAGATGTAGGTGATGCCACACAAAATCCGGCTTGGCCTTCTGCGTCTGCAGAATGTGTCCACTTGCAGAGCTGAAGGGTGCAGTACGTTCATAACCGGATCTGCTACAGGAGGCCTGCGTGTGCTTTCTCACCCTCAAGCAAATGCCAAACTACCAAGTACAACTTTCCTGCCTTTTTCGAAACCAGGAAAAAAAAGCACTGGGAACATTTTTTCCAACTCAGCACTTCGTGGGGGGGGGGGGGGGGGGGGGGG